GGCCTGGTGCACTGGGAAGACCCAGAGGGATGGGGTGGAGAGGGAGGTGGGAGGGGGGACCGGGATGGGGAATACATGTAAATCCATGGCTAATTCATTTCAATATATGACAAAAACCACTGCAATGTTGTAAAGTGATTAGCCTCCAACTAATAAAAATAAATGGAAAAAAAAAAAAGAATCAGCCTACAATGCAGAGGCTGCAGGAGACTTGGGTTCTCTCTCTGAGTGGGGAAAATCCCCTGGAGGAGGAAATGGCAACCCATTCTTGGGAAATGCCATGGACAGAGGAACCTAGCTGGCTATGGTCCATAGGGTTGCAAAAAAATCGGACATGACTGAAACGACTTAGGACGCATGCACAGATAATCTCCCTATCTCAAGTTTCTTAATTTTAATAACTTTTTCTCATCTAGAATAACATTCACAGATTCAGAATCAAGCCAGGGTCTCCTGCATTGCAGGCGGACTCTTTATCAGCTGGACTACCAGGGAAACCCAAGGAATTAAAATCTGGTTGTATTTATGGACCATTATTCAATGTCTCATAGTACCAAAATAATTTGTTCATCCAGTTTTTTTTTTTTTTTAATGTCAATTCTATGGGAAATCCAAGCCACATTATGAACATAGTTTTTCTTTGATGAATCTTTTCACTTCCCTTCTGGATGCATAGAAGGGTCATACAGTTATCTATGGTCTCAGATTCCTAGTATCTAAGTTAATTGATTTTTTAATTTAAATCACACATTTTCTATTTCATTATTCCCTGCCTTGTGGATTAAAAACTTGAATAGAATATAAGTATTGCCTTCAAGGAAGTTAAAGCAAAATGCACTTCCAGAGATAATGCAAAATATAGTTAGAATAATAAACTATGTTTCTCCATGTGACTATCTGGAAAATGATAGGAGAATTCAAGTACCTGAGGAGGAAAACAAAGCATTTCTTTAAATTGCTTAAAGAAAAAATTGCATACTTGGCCCCAAATCACCCTAGGTGCAGAGGAGAAAAGAACCATGCTTTCTTAAAAGAAGGAAAATTAGATTAAAATATGAGGTGACACACACTATGTTATGTTCGTCTGCTCTTTCAAGGCAGCATACAATGCTTTCTTTGGTATCAAAAAATGATATACAGTTCAGCATAAACATGTCTTAAAAGTAATAGTATATATGTATCAATTGCTGAATTTCCATGATTTAAAATGGCATATGATGATACCTTTTCATAAGTTTTTATTGGAGTACAGTTGATTTACAATGTGATATTAGTTTCTCATGCATAGCAAACTGAAACAGTTATACATATACATATATAGATTAAAAAAAAAATCTTTTCCCATATAGGTCTCTATAGGGTATTGAGTAGAGTTCCCTTTGCTATACACGAGGTTCTTACTAGTTATCTATTTTATACATAGTAGTGTGTATATGGCAATCCCAATCTCCCAATTTATTCCTCTCCCCACCCTTTCCCTTTTGATATCCACGTTTGTTTTCTAAATCTATGACTCTATTTCTGTCTTGTAAACAGGTTCATTTGTACTATCTTTAAATATATTTCATATAAGCAATATCAGATGATATTTGTCTTTGTCTGACATTCTTCACTCTTTACGACAATCGACAATCTCTGGGTCCATCCATGTCACTGCAAATAGAATTATTTTGTTCTTCTTAATGGCTGAGTAATATTCCATTGTGGACTTCCCAGGTGGCTGTGTGGTAAAGAAAATGACTGCCAAACAGGGGACTCAAGTTTGATTTCTAGGTCGGGAAGATCCCTTGGAGAAGGAAACGGCAACACACTCCAGTATACTTGCCTGGGAAATCCCATGGACAGAGGGGCCTGGTGGGCTATATTCCCATGGGTTTGCAAATGAGTCAAACACAACTTAGCAACTAAAATAACAATAACAATAGTCCATTGTATTTCTGCATTACGTTTTCTTTGTCCGCTCCCCCATAAACAGTGCAGCCATGAGTCGGGAATTACGGTTTTCTTCAGGGATATGTTCAGGGGCGGAATTTCTGGGTCACGTGGGAGTTTTATTTTCAGGGGTTTTTAAGGAAACTCTTTAGTGTTCTGCCTGGTGTTTCCCTGGTGGCTCAGAGGTTAGAGCGTCTACCTGCAATGCCGGAGACCTGGGTTTGATCCCTGGGTCGGGAAGATTCCCTGGAGAAGGAAATGGCAACCCACTCCAGTATTCTTGCCTGGAGAATCCCATGGCCAGAGGAGCCTGGTGGGCTACAGTCCATGGGGTTGCAAAAAGTCGGGCACGTCTAAGCGACATCACTTTCACTTTACTGTTCTCCATGGTGGTCATAGTAATTTACATTCCCATCAATGGTGTAGGAGGGTTTCCTTTTCCACACACACTCTCTCTCTCTCCAGCATTTATTGTTTGGAGAATTTTTGATGCTGGCTATTCTGACTGGTAAGAGGAGATATCTTCTTGTATTTTTATTTGAATTTCTCTGATAATTAGCTATGCTGGGCATCATTTCCTTGCCTGTTGGTCATTTATAAGTCTTCTTTGGAGAAATGTCTGTGTAGATCTTCCTCTGATTTTTTTATTGAGGTTTCTGTTTGTTTTGATATCAAACTACATAAGCTGTGTATTTAGAGATAAATCCTTTGTCACTTGGTTCATTGGCCAATGTTGTTTGTTTTTTTTCCCCCCCTTTTGTGGGTTATTTTGTTTTGTTTTGTTTATGGTTTCTTTTGGTGTGCAAAAGCTTTTAAGTTTGCTTAAGTCCCATTATGTTTATTTTTGCTCTTATTTTCATTACTCTAGTAGGTGGATCAAAAATAATCTTATTGTGATCTATGTCAGGTCGTGTTCTGCCTATATTTTCCTCTATGAGTTTTATAGTATCTGGTCTTACATTTAGATATAATCCTTTTTGAGTTTATTTTTATGTATACTGTTAGAAATTGCTCTGATTTCATTTTTTTTCCCCATGTAGCTGTTCAGTTTTCCCAGCACCACTTATAGAAGAGACTATCTTTTTTCCCATTGTGTATTCTTGCCTCCTCTGTCTCAGATTAGGTGACCAGGTATGTGTGGGTGATATACTGATATCTTAAATTATGGCATATTTATTAATCCATTTACAGAAAGGAAGCATAGAAACCCAAAATCAATGGATGAGAAAAATTTTACCACAGTGAAGGAGTTCATACTTTTAGGATTTACGACAGACCCGTGGTTACAGAGACTTCTCTTTTACATCTTCCTGATCATTTATATCATCAGTCTTTTAGGGAACATCACCCTGATTTCTCTGATCTGTTCTGATTATCGGCTCCATATACCCATGTATTTCTTCATTGGAAGTCTGTCATTCCTGGATCTCTGGTATGCTTCTGTCTATGCCCCCCAAATCCTGATGACCTGCATCTCTGATGACAAACGCATCTCCTTTGCTGGCTGCCTAGCTCAATTCTTCTTTGCTGCTGGAATGGACTACACTGAATGTTATCTGTTGGCTGCCATGGCTTATGACCGCTATGTGGCCATCTCCAACCCCTTGCTTTATTCCCAGGCCATGTCTCCAAGTTTATGTGCCAGTCTTGTTGCAGCATCATATTTTGGTGGCTTTGTGAACTCAACCATCGTCACAAGTGAAACATTTACCTTGAACTTCTGTGGGGACAATGTCATTGA